TGATTCTAAAGGTCATTTGTATATATTCCTTTAGCCCACTAGAGGTCAGTATTGGGTTGATAAAGACAGGAGCCTTCAGTTTTTGAGTCACATAATTTTACCTCTGAGTCTTATTGCTAGGCACCCTTGAAAGTTATATTTCACAATAAAACTTTATTTAATTATATATATAATTAGTTATGTAACATTATAATGATATATATATATAACATTAATATATTTATGTATGTGTATGTAACATATATAATGCCTTATAGACACTCTTTGACAGTTGTAAAGTGTTAATAGCCACATTTTTAGGTTAATAGTCCAGATTAGGTAATTCTTATGGGTTTTTGGGTTTTCTCCTTCTTCTAATAGGCAGGAGAACATCCAAATCCTGTCTTTTGCAGATACTCCTTTTATTGGGCTAGATATCATTCTTACATAGATTTCTTTTGTTATTTATTGCCTTTATATAGTAATCATTTATCCAAATTTAGTGTATATATGTCACTGAATCTGGGCTTTGGGGATTCTAAGAATGGTAATGTGTGTTTTCTATTCTCAAAGAAATGAGAGTTAATACTGAAGTGTGGTACTGTCATTTGTTTACCTTGCAGTCTGACAGGTTTACTGAACTCTTCTCCGTCTTCTCCATCCTGTTCTTGACTTACTATTTCCATGGTTCCTACCGTTTGGGATGATCCCACCATCTAGTCATCAAGGCCAGAATACTTAGTCTTATTCTTATTTCCTTCCTGCCTTCCATGTATTACATCCAAATTAGTAATTTCTGATGCTTCTGCCTCATATATCTGCTGCTACCTTAATTCAAGTCCCCATGGTTATTACTGGACTGCTGTTGTGATCTATATTGGTTTTCTTGTTTCTGGTCCCCGTCTTCTCCCAGTTGACCACTCCTCTGATCCTATAGGATTTGCCCGAATTATAAAGCTTATCCTGTCATTCCCTTGCTTACACTCTTTCATTGTTTCTCCATTGCCTACTAGCTATCATTGAAACTGTTTTGTATGACATCTTTATGTGTTGTTAGTTCTTTATAAACTATGTTTCTATACAAAGTTACTTGTTCCTTGGGTGGATACTGTTATTTCACTCATGGCCCTTTCTCATGCTGTGTCCATCCTCTGGAATGGTTACGCTTTCTACTTACCTCCCTTTGGAAAAATTGTATTTATCTTTTTAAGAGCATGCTACCTGCTCCTCTGGGAAGTCTTTCCTGAGACCCCTCCAAGCAGATCTAATTACTTTCTTCTTTGTTCAACGATTGTCCTCTGTATTATTTCTCTTATTATGCTTATTGCATGGAATTTCAGCCACTTATTTTCCAATCTGGTTTTCATAACAGTTTGATGAGAGGTTCATGAACCAGACACTCTGTCTTTTTCTTTCTATACCCAGTGTGTAGCACAATGCCTGGCACCAAGCAGTCCTTCAGTATATGTTGGACTGAAACAGGCACACAGAGAGAAAGCACCATGAATTAGGGCAGTGAGAGGGGGGCTTTTAAAGGCAGAAGAAGTTTAGTTGGGTTTTGGAGGAAAGGGTGGATTCAGGCAGAAAGCGGTTGGTCATTCAGTAGAGAGCAGAAATAGAAACATACCTAGTATGTTATGAGGTAGACTCTGAATCAAGTGGAAGATTCATGTTGGAGAAATCATTGGAAAATTAGGTTCAGCTTCCATTATGGTGGAGCCTAAGTGACGGATGTGGAGTTTGGATTTGTTCTTGTGTAAATTCCCTCCCCCCCCCCCC